AGCTCATGACTGATGATGACGTTGTGGTATATGGAATGGATTTATTTCATTTCTCGCAGCCACTCGAGGTGCTACCACTCACCAGAATAATTTTAAAAAATATGGTTGTATAACATCGTAGTATATCCCTTCAAACGCTACAAATTCAGCAAAACTTCCCAACCTTGAACGAGCAGAAACAAACCTACCGCTCTCAAACTAACTTTGACGATTGCTACGTCAATAAAAATGGTCTCGCGCTGGTTTTACGAACGGGCTTCTGAGCAACGACACGCGTAACCTCCCGCACTTGCACAGGGCATACATTTCGACCGCTTAGTTTTTTTTTATCGGTTGGTGCCAAAAAAACGCCTGGAGTTTTGATCGAACATTTCAGCTCAGCGGCTGGAAAATGCGGAGCCACGAGAGGCGACCTCGATCGCAGCGATCGTTTCCCATGATGTTCAACCACAACATGAAACGGGAACATCTTGATCTCGGCACCACACCAGATCGGACCCGTCCTTGACAAGGACACGCTACTGACACCAGTCAAAGGGAGTTCATTTTCCCTGATCAAATGAGACAAGTGCTGCTCATCTCCTGTTTAGAGCCCTGAGCCAGTGGTGGATAATCCACATTTCTATGGCAGGGGCATGTCTAGGCATAGGACAGAACACTGTTGACTTTCCCCCCAAAGTGATACTTCATCTACAAGCCACGTCCAGTGCGACGATGCTGACATCGCCAAGCTTCGTCCATCACCTCCCATCCAGCGGCACACGTGGTAACAGGGGTGAGGATACATTCTTCAAACTATTATTGTGTTTTCCGATTAGTCTGACCAATAACGGGTGATAATTTTAAGTCTGATTTGTAACACGTGCAAGCGAGTCGCTCACACAAGTCAGAGGCACAGCGACACAAATTAGAAAAATCGATTATATATATAAAATCGGAAACTGCCACTCGAAACAAAAGGGCTGTGCATGATTGTCACTGTACATTATGACGACAGCGTGGAGGACATAGCCTGGTTAACGCGGAACGCCACAACCGCTGCAGGGCTTTCGTGTATTTACACTCAGAACCCGACCAGCCCAGCTCACCAGGCCCCGGCTTGTAAAACAAGGACGTGCAAATAGAAGTCCACATATTCAGTCTTCGAGCACCATTCTCCACATTCTGTAACCAAGTCACCTGGAACGCACCGGATCTCAGAAGCTAATCAGGCATTGAGCATGGATTACGCTTGGATGGCCAACAACTATGCAAGCAGGTGTCAGTCTGTAGGATTGAGCCAAGTTGTGGGAAGCCAAGAGTGCTGCAGATAAATCCGTTGTTGTACTTTGCGTCTAGACTTCCATGTCTATGCCCCTCACCTTCATTCACCATCCCGCACTGACTAAATGACACCTACGACTTGCAGTGTGGTGAAGCCTTCCAACCAGCAGTTTGACCTTTTTTTTACATCATCCACACTCAAAGGTGCCTCATGTAAACTAAGCTAACTGGCCACCCACCACACAACCTCACCCCCAGTAACTGAAACCCGACTGGAGGAAGAACATTAATTTATGGGGTGCTATGAATGCTGTAGCCATATCTGACATCACCTTGTCCATAATTACAACAAGTGCCTGTGGCTAAGGGGGTGTGGGTTGCAGTGGTGGTGGTGTTGGAAGGCAACAGCCCTGGGTATCGGAGCACAAATATTCCATCACAGCTCACGTTTCTCCTTGTCCGATGGCTCAAGTGCCTGAAAAGTTAGCTGTGAGAGTGAAGTCTACCCGATCGCAGCTCTTAAAATTAAGATGCCATGCCGGCTCCGCCAGCTCCGTGGTGGTGAGAAATCGCCAGGCATTCCTGTCCGGCGCATTGATTAAAATGCTCGCGCTGGAAAGAATGCAGCTCATCCCGTCGGCCCTCAGAATCTAAGACGAGCTGTTGACCCGAGAAAGTGCTATCACGGGCAACCGCCATGCATAACAGGCATTATAGGCTACTATAAACATTATTATATATTTTTCCTGCTAAAGGCAGTGTCATTCATGAATTTGTAAAAAAATGTCGTGTTACGTGTGCTTCTGCACCACTGCCAACACAACAGCAGCATCACCAAATAATATGCTGGCTTCATATGGTCACTAATAAGAGAGACCCCGATATGGGATGACTGGGTGGCTCAGAAGTCAAGAGCACTGAGATCATGGGTTTGAAAACAGGAAATTACAAAAAAAATCCAAATTGTAGGGATGGCATCTCAAATCAGATGACCATGCCAACGTTTTGTCGAGATGTTTCAACAAAACGGCATCTCTATGCACGTGTCTCATGAGTCAACCCATACGGTTTACCCATATTCTTGTTCAAGGAAATTGAGTTTTCAGGTTCATAAGGCGCACAACTTTTCAATACGGACAAACAAAAATGTGTTTGCATTTCTCCCCTGTGATGGGAATTTGTAGGATGAACGTTGAGATTTATAACGGCACGGGGTGACCAACAATGTCTGAATTTGTCTGTAATAAGGGGTTGACAGGTATGAGTTAAAGTATGTTACTGTTGGGTTCTCTACAGAATATGATGCCCCTCACTGTCTGCCACGTCATTAGTTGTAACTTCCTATATTTTCCGCAAGGTCCTCCCCGCGGGTCATTATTGTAAAACAGCTTAAGGATGAATGTTTCTTAACTGGCGTCAACAAATAAAATCAATCAACTTGACAGCAGCACGTGCAGATGATGCCAAGGCAGAATGCATTAGCGTGTCAGTGTCAGTTTTTAGAGCTGCAGAATGAGTCGTCACGTTCCCCACAAACATCGCAAGTGCGATATCAATCCTAACCTTGACGCATAACCTAAACTTTAGCCAGTGCGTTTCGTTTAGGTATTGCTTATCTTTTGTATTTATCTTATAGCGTCAGTCATGCACGTTGCATCTCGTACAACATTGAGGAGCCAGCCAAGCTGGAAGGCCGCAGCGAGGCGCTGCCAACAATTTTCCCAAACTCTGCAGTCCTCTATAGATTAAGATGCTTTCAGCCAAGTAATGAGCGGTCACACACACGTGGGAGAAAACCGGAGCACTCGGCGAAAACCCACGCTCGCGAGAGGGCAACACGCTATCCCACACAGGAGGGAGAGCAGCAGGTGAGGCATGAGGCCACAACTTCGCTGTTCCACAGCCTTCTCCTCGCGGGAATGGAAGTTTCACAACTTTTGTGTGACCCACCAACCCCCGCCCGGTAACGTGCGTTTAAGTTATAGTTCGTTAAAGCCGATTTAAAATGACGCCAACCCAAGCAACTAATCAGGTCTCAAACATTGCAGACAACCCAACGTATACTGTGTTCCGGATTGTGTGATATCAAAATGAAAGCTTTGTTCATGGGAAGAAAAAACTTGAAAATTATGGTCAGGCGCTCTATAATAGTTTTTTTCAGAATGATCATTCATAGATTAGAGCAAGGCCGTAATGACAATATATGTTGGGGGGGACACATCCCCACAAACCCCCCCAAAATATTAAAATATTCTCAAAATGTCCCCCCAATATATTGCTATTAAAAACAATTTGCTATGCTATGTAAATAAAAACAACAATTTGCTAAACCTTGGCCACAATATCTGGACTTGTCTTCATATAAATCAATGCATAGATTTTTGTTAATATGATTGTGGTTATGGTTGTACTTTATTAATCCCTAATCTCTGCCATTACATACAATGAAACAAGAAATGGTGTAAAAAAAAGTAAAAACAGCAATGCAATACACTATTCGACATTATTGTAAAAAAGAAATAAAAAGTCCATCCCATGTGCGAGTGATTTTTTAAAATATATTTTGGGTTGGGACCCCCAGACACCCTGGAAGATTTGCTCCCCCCCAATGTTGATTCCATGGCTACGGCCTTGCATTAAGAGTATCCCATTCTTACGGTGACCCTAACAAAAGGCCATGACCCCTAATGGAGGACTATGTTTAACACGTAGCAGGCTTTCGCGACCAATATTATCCATACGTGTTGTTTTTGCGTTAGATCGCGTCAATGTAAATGTCGTTAAGAACCGCCACCACCCGACACAGCCACAAATCTGGCTATCGCCTGATGAAGCCAGTTGTTATTACAGGCGAAACGTCGTGCTCAGATTGTAAATGTTGTGGATTTGCTCTCCCACACACCGATGTGTGCTGTGCTCGTAACTAATTAGCACGTTCTGTTAACGTGACAAACCTTACTAATTGGCTGTGTCGGATGGTGGCGGGTTTAACGACACATTGATATTTACGTGATTTAAACCCCAAAAAACTCCATCAAGGCCTAACTATATTGTGATCCTAACTGCCAACACAGCTCCTCAAAACATTTGTGATTTAACAAATCGGTTTTAATGTGGAGTAGCCCATCGTGTTGTGGTATACACGGTGGAGAGACACAGCTAACGTTGCTTTGGCAGTCCATGTTCTCTGTTACCGTGTGGCATACCGGTTACCATCGCCCAAACCACTTGGACTCCAGCAAAGTGATATCGTGACATGGTACAATGTAGTCAGAGTAATGCTGCACCAGCTCGTGGTGTGGTTAGTGTGATAATTAATCGGAGGCGCTCGTCAATGTTATTAAACACCGACTCCCCCACTGGCCTAGTAACCACTCGGATTTTAACTACAGCAAAGGCCCGGCGCTATAGTCAATGTATTCGGAGTAAAGCTGTGGCAGCGAGAGACGCAGTTAGTCAAGGTAAGTTAATGAAGTTACACTCGTCAATGTTACGTTTCCCTCCCGCCGAACCACCGCGACTTTGACTACAACACGACAGTCAAGCACGGCGACATGACCAACGGACCCGTGGCAATGCCCTGCCAGTGAGTGTTGTAGCCGAGCCAAGGCAGCCACACGAGTTAGTGTAGTTACACGAGTTAGTGTAGTTACGCTAGTTAGTGTAGTTGGTGGAGTGTTATTTGTGCGTTTGATGTACCCCAGGTTCCCAATGGGCCAAGGTGCCTCAGGCCTCACCGTGAACGCAGCGCCGTCCAGGAGCCCCACGGAGAAGGTGTTCTCCCCGGGGTTCACGGCGCCCGTGAGCACCTGGTGCAGCTTCATGGCGAACGCCGACGATGTCCGGGCAGAACGCCGCTAACCCACCGCTAACCACCGCCGCCACTTAGACTCGCACCATCACCACCACCACCACCATCGCCAGCGTCACCACCGTACGGGGTGGGGAGGGGGCGCCACCGCGCAAAGTCTCGCGAGATCTCGTTTGCCGACCTCCGCATTCATCTGAGCGCGCGCGGGTCCGGCCGCGTCTCGCGAGATTTGGGACGGATTTTCACCCTCCCCCCTCCTCAGCGCCTTCGGAGCGTGCGTCGACGACTGGATATGCATCGCGCGTTGAGTGGCGCCCCGCCCCGCCCACTGTATCGCGATGTCGCTTGCCGAATGCGCATGCACCGCTAGGAACTCGCCAATGAAAACGTGGCCGTAAGTGGGGGAACACGATTCAACAGGCAACGTTTCGGGCAATTGCCCTTCATAGCACATCAACACATTCATGGCCCCTTTGTAAAAGCAGAAACATTCTGCGTATGGCCCTTGTTCATAGCCATTCATTTGGCTGTGAAGAAGGGTCATTGTCCGAAACGTCGCTTATTACACAGTGTTACTATTGACAAATGTGTTGAGTGGTTTTTTTCATTATTAATTGTACATCACCAAATGGTGTGTTCAGTAAGATCTCCCATCGGGCGCGTTCCATCCACTCTGGAATGGAGTCCCCCCCGTGCCACCAATAACACCGACACGAAGTGACGGTGACGTCACTAGCGCCGCCTGTGCCAGGCTAGGTGCACTTTGTCGAAGGCTCTCGCTGCTTTCAGGTCACGGGACCAGACCCCCGAGGTTGCCTGAATGATTTGACCGGCAGATTCATCATCCCCCCGTACTGCAGCCTTAACAGACTACTGGGGGAAAAGTGCTGTTTGCGAGTAGCTACCTATGAAGGCCAGCAACCACGCCCGGCCGCCTTTGTCTCCCAATACCAACACGTGGCCATTCGCCACGAAGTGGCGGTGAGGTCACCAACGGCGCCTGTGCCAGGCTAGGTGCACTTTGAGGCCCACGTGAAAGTGAAGTGTCGAAGGCTGGCTGCCGGCAGGAGGTCTCGGGACAGACCCAGCAGGTGCCATGGGTTGGCCGACTGAGATGGCTGAACCCCCTAAATGTGCCAATTTTATCTGCCCGGCGCTCCGCTCGTTGTTGTGAGCGTCGCTCCTCTGCCCTCCGTTGTTGCTGGAGGGCGACTGCCTCCAACTGCACAGTAGCCTCACTGTGCACCTAGCCTGGCACTACCCTAGTAGCGTCCTTCACAAGCTTCCTCCACAGAGGCCGATCTTGACACCGGCAAGTCCACTCAGCTCCACGTCCTCCCGTACCGCATCAGCTCCATCTCTTCTCCAGCCCGTGCCCGTTGAGCCCCCTCGATGCGGCCAAACAGAAGCTGCTTGTGGCACGCGGTGGCTGCTGGAGCCAGCCAACGGAGAACATCTTAGAGTAGTACCCATATACACACGAAAACATAGACAACAAACGGGTGACACAATTGGTCAAGATTTGAATTGTTACGCCCAATAACACAATAAATGTCAATGTGCCCCAATGGACCGTGATGTCTCTCCATTGTTCGTCAGCAGGGTCCGTGCCGGGTTGTAGCCGCAAGGCGGCGGTGTTGCCGCTGCGATGCGCGATCCCAATTGAGTGAAGGACACCATTGGACGTCTTGGGAACGGGGGTGGTGTTGGCCAGCAACAACCAGGCCCGGCCGCCTTTGTCTCCCCAGTGGCGCGGCTTTTTTTACGACACCGCACCGGGGCTACTCATGTTGAGGCTCTTGCAGGGACCGGGACCGGGACCGGTTCAGACGGTGTTGGCCGCGGGCACTGCCGGTCGCCGGGTTCGTAGCGCAGCGCGCTAACCGCTGCACCACCGCTCCCCCCACACGCGAACCACGTGTCTTTGGCTATGCCACCACCACCACCGCCCTGCCGCCTGTGCCCCCTCCCCCCACACGCCACGTCTGGCGGCCCCCCCCCCCTGCCGGCAGCCCCCCCCCCTGCCGGCAGCGCCCCCCCCTGCCGGCAGCCCCCCCCCCCTGCCGGCAGCCCCCCCCCCCTGCCGGCAGCCCCCCCCCCCCACTGCCGGCAGCCCCCCCCCCTGCCGGCAGCCCCCCCCCTGCCGGCAGCCCCCCCCCCTGCCGGCAGCCCCCCCCCCCACTGCCGGCAGCCCCCCCCCTGCCGGCAGCGCCCCCCCCCCTGCCGGCAGCCTCCCCCCCCTGCCGGCAGCCCCCCCCCCCCACTGCCGGCAGCCCCCCCCCCCTGCCGGCAGCCCCCCCCCTGCCGGCAGCGCCCCCCCCCTGCCGGCAGCCCCCCCCCCCCCTGCCGGCAGCCCCCCCCCCCCCCACTGCCGGCAGCCCCCCCCCCCCTGCCGGCAGCCCCCCCCCCTGCCGGCAGCGCCCCCCCCCTGCCGGCAGCCCCCCCCCCCCTGCCGGCAGCCCCCCCCCCCACTGCCGGCAGCCCCCCCCCTGCCGGCAGCCCCCCCCCCCGCCTGCCTTGTGCTGCCGCCCGCCCGGTCGCCCGGGGAACGGCGGTAAACAAACCCCGCGCCTCGACCGGGAGCCGCCTGCGTCGTGGGCGAACGGAGCAGCTGGCGCCAGCGTGGCGAGGTAAGTCTCCCTCCTCATCCTCCTCATCCTCTTCCTCATCCTCCTCCTCGTCGCCACCTTAGAACGCAAGGCGGGTCTCGCTGTCGGCATGACGAGAGGTAAACAGAGAGAGAGAAAGCGCTGGGGCTGCCGCGCTTTTTCACCCTTCCCAAGATGAGTTCACTTTCTTAGAGTCGACTTCGTGCCTCGGCCTCCTGCTGCTGCTGCTGCGAAGATTCGTGTCAACTCGCCCAAATGTTTCATTCTCGTCCGTCGTGGCGCCTTCAGCGGTGCTGTTTGTTACTGGTCGCAATGTGTTTTGGTTCGTGCAGCGGTCTGCGACCGTGATTTAATTATTATTATTTAACTAAACTATTTTTTGATTTAAAGCTTTCGTGACTGCAGGGATTCATATTCTTGGTTCTTTCGGTAAAGTCACGACGAAGGGAAAGAATATATAAACTAATTTTCATTTGACCGGGTAGGGCCCACTGAGCTGTACAGATCTTTTTTCAGAAGCGACCTGGCCACAAATGAGAGCTCAGCGAAGTGGCTTATCATGACGTGGAAATGTCTAGCAGCCAACTACTCTAAACGCGTGGTGTTCATTCTAAATGTGGAGAGAAAACCGGAGGACCCGGACAAAAATCCACGCGACCACGGGGAGAGAGAGAGAGACACTCGGAATATGCAGCAGCAGCAGCAGGCGTCAGGGTCGGCATCGAGCCCACGACCTGGCGAGGTAGTAGACATCTCCTGGCCACCGTGGCGCCCCTGATACAACTGTAAGTTCCCGAAGGTGGACCTTGTGTTGGCTCATGGCGTTGTCGAGGCAACGTGTGGGCTGTATGTACAGCACTGGCCATCAACCCACTGCTGGATAAAAACCACTGCCCATACACCTTTCGGTTTTGTGGGGTTGTTCAACCCCACGCCTGAGTGCAGCAGTTGAAGGGTTTGTTAGAGGTCACGCATTGTTCCACAGAAAAAGAAAAAGTAAATATTTAAAATCACAGACTCACAGTTTTGGAATGTGTAATGCGTTACCGATCACTTGTAAATGTTCTACCCCTTTCCTCCCACAGAGTCCACTCTTGAATTGTGAAACCTGCCCAGTGACATTTCACAAGGAGCTTAGTGATTAAAATGTTAATATACTCCTGAGGCTTCTAATATCTTACCAAGTGAGGTTTATGATGCCTTAAGAGGTGAGGCTTCTGATATCTAAGCGAGACATCTGATATCTTACCAGGTGAGGTTTATGATGCCTTAATAAGTGATGCCTCTGATATCCTACTAAATGAGGCTTCTCATATCTTACTAAGAGAGGCCTCTGATATCTTGCAATGTATGGGTCCTGTGGAGGAGCTTAGGATTGTACTGGCGCATTCAGATATTGCATAATTTAGGGGATTCAGCGTCACGTTCCGCCAATCTCAGTGTTCGTTCTCGAGGGTCCGGTGTCGGATGTCACCATGCAGCGCGCGTCCGCACGCGAGCGTCTGTGCATCTGTCATCTATAATATCTCTCTCTCTAAAACCAGCTCAAGCCTCCGGTAAATCACGTTACTTCTGTGGCTATACGGCGGTTCTTTGTCTCTGTACAGGTCTTTCCGAGCAAAATGACGGAATTCAGCCACAGATTCCCCGTCATCCCCGTTGCCGACAGGTTAGTGACGAGCACCCCACTGCAAAGAGAGACCCGGCCACCTCCACCCAGCCACCTCCACCCGGCCACCTCCACCCGGCCACCTCCACCCGGCCACCTCCACCCAGCTATCTCCAAACGGCCACATCTACCTGGCCCCTTCCACCCGGCCACCTCCACCCAGTCACCCCCACCGGCCCAACTCCACTCGCCAACCTCCATCCACCTGGCTACCTCGCCAACCCAACGTCTTAACGGTGCTGGCTTGGCACTCTGACACTTGAGCCGACCTCCCTAACGCTTGTACACCATGTGACCATTTAATTCCTTTGGCTGTGTAGGGCAGCGGAGCGTCCCACAACAGTAATTTGTCCAGATCATTACGTGTCCACACCCAAAGATCAACTACGAACTCTGACCCCCCTGCCCTCCCCCCACACCACCTCCGCTCCCCTGCCTCCTCATCGCCCGTTGTCCCCCCGTGACCCCTCCGCAGGTCACGGCCGTCGTCCGGCCAGCAGGGGCCGTCGAGACGCGAGCAGCGTTCTCCACAGCCGCCCCACTCCTCGTCGCGCCTGCCCGCCCTGCCGATGGCGCTGGTGGCGCCGGTGGGGCGCGTCGAGGTGCTGGAGGGGCGCGTGGCGCAGCAGGAGAAGACGCTGGGCGCCCTGCTGGAGCAGGCGCTGCGCATCCGGGACGAGGTGGCGCTGAGCCTGCGCACCGGGGGGCCCTGGGCCCCGGGACAGGCGGCGGCGGCGTCGTCGGGCGCCGGCTGGGAGCGGGAGAGGGAGGCGCGGCGCATGTTGGAAGAACACATCCGCAGCATCGCGCTCATCGTCCACCGGCTGGGACGTGAAGTGGAGGCGCGTCCTGGCGCGACGGCGCACGCACGCACGCCTCATCATCAGCAGTCACTGTTGAATGACGGCCTCCCCGAGGCATCGCCATCTCCCACAGTCACGCATGCACGCGTAGGCCTCTTTATCTGTCCGCGTGTACGCAGAAGCACGGGCAATCACGTGTGCATGAATAGCAGCAGCAGCAGCTGCCATTCACAACTAAGTGGCAGTGGCATGACCACAGCATTTGTGCCAGCCGAGGGGCACTTAATAGCCATCACGTGAAGTGTGGAAGATTCGCTGGCAGGAGGAGGTCACAGGACAGATGCCATGGGTTGACTGATTGAGACGACTGGCAGGTGCATCACCTGGGGTCTCCAATGTACCACCTCGCTGTATTCTAGGCACGTTTCTGATGACTGCGTTGAGTTTGTATGACTATTATCATTGTCACGATGAATGCTGTCCGGGTGCGGAGCAATGCATTTCATTTCGGATAAGATGATGAATTAGAATTATGATTGGATGTAAAAATCCGATTATGTTTTTGCGCACAAGCACTTTGATACATTTCGCAAACTGCTCTTTTTAGAAATTAATTTGATCAATTGATTGATTGGCACGAGTGGCGGTAGGAGAAACTTACCCAATGGTGGGTGGTGGTCAGGTGGGAGGGTGGCTAAATAAGAGCTTTTCACAGAGCCCCCCAAAAACAAAGCATTTTCTCCATTGCCACCGAACGGCATCGCTAACCCCACCAAGCGAGCCACGGCCGTAACCCAGCACCGTCCGCTCCCCACTCTCTGCCACAGGTGCTGGAGGCGGAGGTGCGCATGCGCGACTCGACGGCGCTGGGCACGAGCAGCGCCGTGAAGACGCTCGAGATGCACCACGTGACCGGCGTGGGCGACCTGCGTGGCCGGGTCGCCAGGTGTGGCAACGATGACTTGACGGGCGCGATAAATAATGACCGAATCGACGGGGACGACGACGTTGTTGACGACGTTGTTGACGACGACGGCGATGCCGGCGGTGTCTGCTCTGCTGCAGGTGCGACGCGAGCATCGCGCGCCTCGCGGGGGAATCGCGCACGCTGCAGGACTCGCTGGGGGGCATCACGCGCGAACTCACGGCCGCGCGTGCCGCGCTCGACCTCAAGCTGCACGAGGTGGAGGCGCAGGTGAGCTCCGCCCTCGCCCCCCTAACCCAACCCCGACCGGGATGACTCCGCAAGCTTACCCGTAGCGCGGGAGGAGGGATGACTCCGCGCTCACCTGCTGTGCGGCGCCGGCCAGGTGGGGCAGGTGCTGGCGCGGCTGGAGAAGGAGAGTGCGGAGCACGAGGCCCGGCTCAGGCTCCTGCAGGGAGAGTGCGGACACCAGGTGGAGATGCTCGACTCCAGGTGAGAAAGAACAGATCCACGGACAGACTGACGGACGAACAGGCAGACTGATGGGTCGATGGACGAACAGGCAGACTGATGGATGAACAGGCAGCCTGATGGGCTGATGGAGGAATAGGCAGACTGATGGACTGACAGATACACAGGCAGACTGATGGACTGACAAACAGTCAGACTAATAGACTGATGGACCGATGGATGAACAGGCAGACTGATGGACTGACGGACGAACAGGCAGACTGATGGACCAATGGACCAACTGACCGTCGGACCGACAGATGAAGAATAAATGGGCAAATGGACAAACAAACGGATAGATAGACAACAGTCAAATTGTCAAACGGATGGATGGACAGATGTAAACATTGACGAATGGGAGAACGTAGAGACAGAGAGAGACAAATAGGTGAACAGGCAAACCAACAACCCCAGAGGCGCTGCTGGTTTGGCGGTGGCAGAGTGACCCCGCGGCGTGGCGGCGTGGCGTGCGTGCGTGCGTCAGGGTGAAGGCCGGGATGGAGGACCTGCGAGCGGCGCTGAACGTGGCGGAGCACGACGGAGAGCACGAGCGGCAGCGCGTGGAGCACGACGTCGCCCGGCAGCTGCAGCAGCTGGCGGGCGCCGTCCGCGAGCGGCCGGTGAGGGGCGGCGGCCCGCGCTGAGCGCTCACCGCACCTTCGCTACAAAGATCCCCCGTAAAGCCTTAACAGACTGTTGGGGCAAATGCCGTTAGCGAGCGCCTATGAAGGCCGGCACTGTGGCACACGAGGGGGTGGGTGGCCAGCACCACGCCCGGTCGCCTTTGTCTCCCCAGTGGCGATGTTTTTACACACCGTACCAGGTAATCATTTGAGGCTGAATCGACCTAGCGGAGGCCCAGGACCGGTTCAGATATATAATCGTCACTGGTATTGGCCGTGAGCGGCAATCGAACTCGGGCCGCTGGGTTCATAGCGCAGCGTAGCGCTAACTGTTCTGCTCCCGCTCCCCAGGACTACCGCCAAGCACAGCTATACCATCACCCCATTCGCCATCACCCACACCCACCATCACCCTCCATCACACACATAAACACACCATCACCAGTATTGTACCTCCCTGCGTTACACTGCACAGTACTGATAAGAGACCTCGGCAATGAAACCTGTGCAGTTCCGACGACAGCCGAGGGCAGGGGCCGGCAACCCGCGGCTCCGGAGCCGCGTGCGGCTCTTTAAGGACCGCTTCGTGACGTCATTTGTCAAGGGCCGCCACCGTCTCGTATTTGCACGCAACTGCTGCTCTTGAAATATTCGAAAAAAAATATTTCGGTTGCCCGACAACCTGGCCTAGGGCGCGTAAAAAGAGATGCTTCGGGTTTGCTCTGGCAACTCTCGCACAGTCTCCGACACTCATCCCACCACCGCCCCTCCACGCGCCGCAGGAGCAGGTGGAGCGTCGGCTGCAGCTGCAGCTCCAGCAGGTGGTGTCCCGGCTGGAGCGGCTGGAGGAGTGGCGCGCGGGCGCGGAGCGCGAGTCGGCGCAAGCCGCGCAGAGCGCCGAGCGGCTGGCGGCGCGCGTCACGCGCCACGACAAGCGCCGGCACGACGAGGTCGCCGCCCTGCGTGCAGAGTACCAGGCCGGTGCGTGCGCGCGCCGCACACACGGGCGGACGCGCGGGCGGACGCGCGGGCGGACGCGCAGGCGGGCAGTTGCGCGGTCGTTCGCGCCCAATGCCGGGCAATAACCATGTTGGTCGCCAGCAACGGCGGCAGGGCGTGGTGCTGGCCACCCGCCCCCTCGCGTGCCGTTCCGGCCTGTTAAGGCTACACCGGGGGTCCTTTGCCCTTTGTGCCCGTGTGTTGTGGTGCAGGTTTCTCCGCGGTGCACGACAGCATGAGTTCCCTGCGCGCCGTGCACGACGCTCGCTCGCGGCTTGAACACGAGTCCGTGGCGCGGGAGGTGCGGCGCATCCGCCGCATGGTGGACGAGTGACCGACGCGGGGGATGGGGTGGGTGGGTCGCTGGGGATCGCACCGGGGATTTCCTGAGATCAACGGAGGTGCTGGCGGTCACCAGGGATCGTGCCGGGATCACAGAAGATCACTGGGACCATGCCAAGGATCGTGCTGGACGATCACCAGGGATTACCTGGGAATGCCGGGGATCATAGAGGATCACTGGGAATCATGGTGGAGATTGCGCCAGAGATCACCGGCGATCACCAGAGATCACCGGAACATGCTGGGGATCATCGGGGATCATCAGAAATCATCAGGGTACAACGGGGATCGCGTTGACAGTGGCGGTAATCAGCGAACTAAAATCAAATGAAGCAAAATCTAACTATCAAGCAGCGAAAGGGGCCTCGGATTCCTGAGTGATCAGGGCTGAACCAAATCGACCCTGCCGGTGTCTCCCTCCTCGCATCTCCTTTGCTCTCCCGTCGTCTCACCACATCTCTGTCCATAATCTCTCTTCTCTCATCTTTATTTTTCCTCACATTCCCATCATCTCTATCTACACCTCTCTCGTCTCACGACAGCCCCGTCTCCGATCAGGATGGCTCCTGATCTATTTACACCTCCATCTTGCGTCTGGTGGCATCTGTCTCTCGTCTACATCTCTTCTAGCATCTCACTCGGATCATTCTATCCGTGTCCTTTCACGACATTCGTGGGGTTTCCCCGCACACGCACAGGTCCGCCGAAGTGACTTCGCGGCAAACCTCGTGACTTTCGCCGCAGACAAAACGTTGCCGGCCATGAATAATCTCGTATCCGCATACTCCGTGTCAGGTAAAGGTGCAGCCCTGCAATTGCTTGCTCATGCCACTGCTGGCGCAAGTGCCTCCACCAGAGAGGGCAGCTGTAGCTCGCTGCCCCCTGGAGGGCAGTTGGCCTTCTCTTCCCACGCAGGCCACACGCAATACGCCGATCAGCACGCTTGGCCACGCGCAATTCAAAATAATGTTAACATACAGGAGACGGTCCCCGGGTTACGGAAGGGTTAGGTTCCCGAGAACGATCCGTAACCCGCATTTTACATATCTCGGAAACTGAACAATTTTCCCCAAAAATCAAGAAAAATGCCATTTGCCTTAATCCTAGTGACACTCGAGTGAGGCGTAAGGCTGCCCGCCTCGTAAGGCTGCCCTGCCTTTCACCTGGCTCCACGGTATTCCTCTGCAACCTCACCATGCTGCACTATTCAAGCTTACGTAGCTCACGCAAACATTTCCGCACATTGACATTTTTTTACATGATTTATAGGATGTCCGTAAGTTGGCTCTTCCACAACCCGGGGATTGTCTGTACGCACAACCGCTGCTCGGCAAATTGTCCGGCGCTGTTGTTGCCGGCGCGAGGTCTCTCCCACGACTCGGTGAAGTTCACTTTTACAGCTCTCTGCCGACAGGAGCTACCGACGCCTGCCGAGCGTCGACAAGCGCCCGTTCCTGGGCCGCACGTCCATGTCCGACGACGACGATGTTGATGTTTAGTTTTACATTTAGTGTCGGGGTTCCACCGCTCATGCGGATCGCATCTCTCACAATCGCCGAGGAACCACAGAGACACGAGAGCCAGAATGTAGCAGGCGGGTGGCGAGCCGGCGCTACCAACAATCGCCCAAGCTCTGCGGTCCTCTATACATTAAGATGTTTTCAGCCAATTTATCAGCGCGTGTTACACGTGGGAGAAAACCGACGCCTGCGAGGGGGGCACGGCGTATCCCGTACGGGAGGGATGGAGATTAGTCTGCACATTGCTGTCCCCGGCTTCTCCTTGCGAGCTCAGGGTATGGGGCTCCCCCTCGACACCCCCACACGTGTGCGGTGATCCACCTCCCCGTGTCTCCTGGCCACAGCGCTTGCCCGTGGCACTGCGAGGTTTAACACGAGCTATGAGATACCCCCCCCCTCCCACCGTGTCCACACCGATTGGCTGCACAGTTGCGCAGAGATTAGTAAAGATGCACCGGAGATTCATGTAAATATTAAGCAGATGACGTTGTTTGCAGTGGCCTCGTCTCTCCATGTCAGGTCCCAGCAATGCCTTCCCCAATCGTTACGTTTTTTACATTTCAGAGTGCGCCTTACAATTCGGCGATGAATGCGTTCGTGCGCGAGTTTGTATCGCGGTGAATTTTCACTTTAAAATGTTTTGCTTGTGCCCGCGATGCGATGGAGATGTTTTTTTGTACAAAAACGTGATCAATCACGGCCACGTATCTGTGTTTACGTTGTGCACCCAAGATGAACTGTTACACTTGTGACTGTTGTCGAGCCGTGGCCTAAAACGTGATCCACCGGTGTTGGCCGTGAGCGGGAATCGAACTCGGGTCGCCGGTTTCGTAGCGCAGCGTAGCGCTAACCACTGCACCGCCGCTCCCCCCCCACACTGACTGCGGTGTTGTAATAAAGGCGGAGAGGCGGCTGAGAGTGAGCAGCTCTGAGTTTATTCCATCGCGACAGCGGGTGCGGTAAGGCAATCGGTGGGCTTCACTCCCGAGGCACAACGCGGTTCAGAGGGCGTCGCGGGCAACGCTGCTCTGCGCCAGCCACACCAACCCGCCCCGGCGGGCAGCACGGGCAGCACGGGCAGCATGCACAGCAAGGGGCAGCAAGGGTCATTGCCGGACCCGTGCTTTAATGCAATACAAGACATTGTGCATTTTTATATTTCATTAATATTGTATTATATTATTACCTTCACGCTTTTTTTTTAAACCCAGCAAAGGCCTGAGTATCAAGAATTCTTTTCAGTTGCGGGAGGGGAGCTGCGTTGCTGCTGCTGTGTGATCTCAGTTGAGTCATTGGCAGGTAATTGTTCAACATCGGGACGTTTTTGCCCAATAGTTACATTGGGTGTGGGTTGTTTTCTATCCGTGGGAGAAAACCCGGAGGGAACCCACGCGGGTCACGGGGAGAACACAGAAAGTCGCCCAAGATGGGAGTCGAACCCAGGTCCTTTCTGCCGCGAGGTGCGAGAGTGTCACGACTGCGCTGCCTCCACCCCCTGCAGCCCGGGTCTATGGGGTACGCATGGCGACAGCTTCTCAAAGATGCCGCACAGGGACAGGGGTCGCATTCATTGGGAGAGAAAGAGGCCGTGAATAGCCGAGGGCAACACAAAGCCTCGAGCGAGGACTTGAGATGAACGGGCAGACGAGGGCGGAGAGGTTTGCGAGTGAGATGAGAGGTAGGAGAGTGCACCGCGCACATCGTTCGCTCGTAATTTCCACGTATCCACAACCACTGATTCTTACGCAAAACAATGCTATCGCTCGCTGGTCGTTAGCACGGTGACCCTGTTCACAGGCCAAGGGGCAGGAAGGCGAGTGGGAAAGTAGGTTGGCGGGGGGTGGGGTTGGTTGGAGATTTGGCGGGCAGGTGAGCGGGCGGTCCTCTAGCTTCCGGCGGAGAGACGCGCGTGCAGCGCCAGCGTCCTCGTGTCCCCGCACGTCTTCACGTCTTCCAGCAAGATCTGCGATCGCAACAGCAGCAGCAAGCGGGAGTCAAGAGTGACCGCCATCGCCGCATGGGCGTAGGGCACGGCATCCATAGGTGCGCACATATACGCAAGCGTGTCTGAGCGGTATTGTAATGGTTAGCGCACTGCACTACGAACCCGGCAAGCCAAGTTCGATTCCCGCTCACGGCCAAAACCAGTGACGATTATCTGAACTAGTCCTGGGCCTCCACTATGTCGACTCAGCCTCAAATGAGTACCTGGTGCGGTGTGTCAACATCGCCACTGGCGAGACAAAGGCAGCCGGACGTGGTGCTGGCCACCCGCCCCCTCGTGTGCCTTGCCGGCATTCATAGGTGCTCGCTAAACAGCACTTTCCCCAAGAATATGTTAAGGCTATATGGGGGATCTTTGTCTTGTTTATGCCAGGTGTGGAACGGTGGCAGAGTGGTTAGTGTGCTGCATGCACCACGAACCCGGCAACTCGACTTCCATTCCTGCTCATGGCCAACACCGGTGACGAATATGTGAACCGGTCCTGGGCCCCCTCCTAGGTCGACCTAGCCTTTTAACGAATACTCCAGACCACACCACCCCTTCGTGTGCCGTTCCGCCCTTCATAGGTGCTGCTACTCGCAAACAGCACTTGCCCCGCGAGTCCGGTCAAGGCCACCCTTCGTCCTTGCCCCGCGTACCTGCAGGAGGTGGTCATCGCTCTTGAGCAGCAGATGGCGCACGAGGAGGCAGCGCGCGATGGAGGCCTCGGTGCCGGCGCCGCGCGACGCTCGCTCCAGGGCCTTGCGCGTTGGCCTGGCGAGGGCGTGAGGCCGCGAGAGAGCGAGAGCGAGAGACGGGGGGAGGCGCGTGGGGCGCTGACGTCACGTTGTTTTACCCCGATTTCTATTTCCTTGTTTTTTGCTCTGATGCATGTGCGCGGAGCGGTGGCACAATGGTTAGCGCTGCACCGCACTACGAACCCGGCGACCGGAGTTCCCGGTCACGGCCGTCCATTCACGTACCCACCTGATAGCGTGCGCGCGTTCGTGTGCGTGTCCGCTAAACGTGCGTCTGTTAATGCGCGTACGTGCGTTTGTGAGCGGGCGTGTACCCGTGTGTGTGTGCACTTGTGTGCGTTTGTGTGGTGCAATGGTCGCGCACTGTGCTACGATTCCCTCTCACGACCAATAATAGTGGCGAATATTTGAACCGGTCTTGAGCCTCCTCTATGTCGACTCAGCCTCAAACGAGTACATGGTGCAGTGCGTGAACATCGCCTCCCGCCCCCTCCTGCGTTGTGCTGGCCTTCATAGGTGCTCGCCAACAGCACTTGCGCCAAAAGTCTGTTCAAACTATGCAGGAGATCTTTGTTGTCTCAGTGAGTGGTGTGTGTGTGTGTCAGTGTGTGTGTCAGTGTGTGTGTCAGTTTCAAGATGTGTCCCCGTGCGCGCGCCACCTTGCCCCGGGGTTCATGCAGAAGGGCAGCGCCCCCTGCAGGAGCCGCGTCACCGCCTCCCCCGGTGCCGCCTTCGCCAACGT